TAATAATAATAATAAAACAAGATCTAGGAAAAGTAAATCCGTTAAATATTACAACATTAGATTACTTTGAAGTTTTCAACTTCACTTAAAACACAAGTATATAGTTCATATCTAATTAATATATTTTCTTGAGGATATTAAAATAAAGTTTTAGGTGTCAAACATTACACAAAATCCCTAAAAGACTAAGTATTTGTATAGACATGGAAAATCCAAAGATAGGCCCAATTTCCAAAGGGGAGGTAATAGATAGAGGGTCAAAATATTGATCAATACCTAGGATCGTATCACCCCAATTTCCCAACAATTTATCATCACATAAGATACCATATAACCAGGTACGCTACAAAATATTAGATTCCTCATTAACATACTGATGTTACCAAGTATTAATAAACAACACAGTTTTCCAAAGTGAGTTTTCAAAAAAAAAAAAATGATAACCGATTATAAATTTTTCTGGAGGGCAAAAGCTCTTTTTTATTTCTTTCTAATTTGGAAAATTGAGAGAACTAACAATCTGGAAAATGTACTATAACTTTTTCCCATAATAACAACGTACTCGCAACTTTAACCTGAAACCTATCAAAATTGTGTGCACAACACATTTATGGTTGCGATCAACAAACACAACACATGAGATGATTCTTAACTTTTGTTAATCAGGATCCGGTTTGGGTTGATCCATGAAAAAAATAGTGCAAGAGCAATAAGCTAAAATTCTATTTCAAAATACAAAGCATTAAGCTCTAAGTCTAAAAACGAAGTTACAAACAAGACCTACAATGACTTTGCAAAGACAACTTATGTGCAGGCTTTTAGGGTTGTCCATTAAATGATGAATGTAAACAACAATTTATTATCAAAATTTTGCAGTTCAAATAACTCTTGATAATGAGAAAGTCTCGACCTCATCATCAAAGGTATTCATGTACATTTTAAGGTGAACACATAGATTATATTGTGGATGATAAAAGATCAACCACTTCCAAATTGTAATATAATGCGGAAAATCATGCAGATACATACATACATACATTTATACAAATATACATAAATACATAAAATATCAAACAAATCTTAGATATAGCAATGTACTTTCATTTATTTATGTAGTGTAGCATCCTACATTCAATTCTTTCGATTGCAACAATGTTCCTGTTTTTTCTTATTAAAGCATTGTACTTTGAATAAAAAATCTTATTAGAACATTATACTTTGAAAGCTCTACCAAAATATAGCATTGTACTTCTATTTTTTTTCTTATTAAAACATTATGCTTTGAAAATCTACCTAACTATAGCATTATACTTTCAATCTTTTTCTTATTAGAACATTATACTTTTTCTGGTTATAGCAATGTACTTTTTAATTTTTCTTTCTTATTAGGGCAAATACCATAAAAGCCACTACATTTTCACGAGTTTTTGAGAAAAGCCTTATTATTTTTTTTGGTTGGTTCTGGCCACAAATTGGACATAGAGTTACCACTCTAGCCCATTTAACAACTTTCATGGTTAACTCTGTCAATTTTTTTGCAAAATCAGTCATAAAAGTTCAAATTTGGTCCCTGTAGTTTGCAAAAATTTACACAACATGTCCAAAACTCGGTTTTATGTTTTTTAACTTCTTTATTTTCATTTATTTTTTTATTTTTTAATCAAAGCTATACTTGCTTTTATATTTTTTAATTTTTTTATATTTTTGTTCTTTTTTAGTTTTTTTTGTTTTTTATATATATTTTTTATTTTTTAACTTCTTTTTTTTTATATTCATTTATTTTTTTATATTTTTTTTCTTTTTCTTTTTTACTTTTTCTTTATATTCATTTTTTATTTATTTTCGTTTTTCTTTATTTTTGATAAAAGAAATTTACGTTTTGTTTTTCGTCCATTTTATAACTTCTTTTGATATTTATCAAAAATTTTAAAGTGCATGAATATTTTTTTATATTTTTTGTATTTTTTGTGTTTTTTTTTCGTATTTTTGTTACGTTTTGTTTTTCGTCAATTTGATAATTTATTTTGATAATTTTTTAGAAAGTGTACAGTGTATGAATATACTAGAGTATATTACATTTTTGGTGTTTGAGTTTTTTTTGGTTTTCTAAAAAAATGAAAAACAAAAATAAAGAAAAAATGAAAAAATGAAAAAAAATTATAAAAAAATATGAAAAATAAATGAATATAAAAAACAAAAAAAATAAAAATAAAAAAGAAGTTAAAAAATAAAAAAAAAACCAAAAAAATGAAATAAGAACGAAAAATATAAAAAAAATATATAAAAAAATTAAAAAATATAAAATCAAGTTTAGATTTGATTAAAAAATAAAAATTAAATGAAAGTAAAGAAGTTAAAAAAACATAAAACCGAGTTTTGGACATGTTGTGTAAATTTTTGCAAAACTACAAGGACCAAATTTGAACTTTTAGGACTGATTTTGAAAAAAAATTTAACAGAGTTAACCATGAAAATCGTTAAATGGGCTAGAGTGGTAACTCTATGTCCAATTTGTGGCGAGAGCCAACAAAAAAATAATAATAGGGCTTTTCTAAAAAATGTGTGTTAATGTAGTGACTTTTATGGTATTTGCCCTTCTTATTAAAACCTTACACTTTGAAAAATCTACCCAATTAAATCCTTTTACTTTCATTTTTTTCCTTAATACCACATTATACTTGGATAATCTATTCAACTATAGCATTGCACTTTTAATTTTTACTTATTAAAACATTACACTTTGAAAGATCTACCCAATTATAGCATTGTACTTTTGATTTTATTTTTTCTTATTAAATTCTTACACGTTGAAAAATCTACCCAATTATATCATTTTACTTTCAATTTTTTTCCTTATTACAGCATCATACTTGGATAATCTGTCCAACTATAACATTATACTTTGAAAGATCTACCCAATTATAGCATTGTACTTTCAAGTATCAAGTTTTTCTTAATAAAACATTATACTCTGATAAATCTACCCAGATAGAATAGTGAAATTGCTTTTTATTTTATTGCATTTGGTATAACTGGAATAGGAAGAAATGAAAATAGGATGCTATGATAAACAAACAAACAAAAGTATGTTGCTGATTCATGTATATAACCTCATACATACATGTCATATGTTATAAGAGAGACGGGATACAAAGAAATTACCAGAGTATGTGTTTCATTCATTTCTCAGCATTTCTTTACTCCAAAACTAATTATTTTAATTTAACTTTTTTATGGGAAAAAAATTGAGGATGAATTAGGTTATAACAGTCTTTTCAAATTATCTATGAATAAAATGAAGAAAAATACACAAAACTTTGGTAATGAGGCACTCAGATCCATATATGCATACTAGTTGGACGCAGTTGCAGAAGCTCAAGATCCTGAATCAATTATGACATTAAGTATTTATTAACAGAAATCCATGGGAATGATGAGATAAAGTAGTTATACCTTACGAGGAAGACCTATCTAGAGACCAAATTATGAGTAGAGGTTGCTGAGAACAAAGTAACACGGGTTGGGATAATAAGTAGATTCCCTACATAGATACCAAATTAATCTCAATTAATAAATATTCACTCAGTTATCACGATGGTTGAAGAAAACAGAATCCAGATAGTAATCAATTATATGATCAAATCAGTTTTTTGACATGTAAAAACAACAAGATCAGAGCACAAAATAAAACTAGTTTGATACTTCCATCATCCACATATATAAAGTGATCAAAACATCTACATGTAACACAAACGTTGTCTCTAGGTACAATACTTGTATCTTTTTAGTTATAATTGTTGACTTTGGCTGAAAAACTACTTATCATTATAATAATTTCAAAATGGAAATCAATGTGACATGATGAATAAGAAAAACATAGAAAGTACCTTTTACAATAGTTCTTTTTGAGTTGTCTTTTCCGGGTCGCACCAGAGCTACTCAAAATTATCCCTAGAGGACGGTAGAGGAGACTCCTGCTGTGGGTGTAAACCCACACGACTCAAGAAGCAGTCCCAACCCACTAATATGCAGACCTTTCAACAAAAGAATGCTCTGAGGAAGATGACTTATGCTTGTACCTTTTACATCTAACTCTTTTAAACATTCCAAACCTCCAAGTTCATCAGGCAATTTCTCAACTAGAATACAATTGTAAAGATTGAAATAATTTAGACATGTCATCTCACAGATGCTATTCGGAATATCTTGTAAACATCAGCAACCCATTAAATTTAGATTCTCTAAGCATTCTAATTGGCCAATATCCTCTGGTAACTTCTCAAACAATGAACAATCATAAAGTTTGAGATATTTCAGACGTTTCAACATGCAAGTGCTATTCAGAAGATGTTTAATCTTTGTATGTGACAAATCTAGATTCTCTAAACATTCTAATTGGCCAAGAGCCTCTGGTAACTTCTCAAACAACGAACAAGAAATAAGTTTGAGACTTTTCAGGTGTTTCAACATGCAAATGTTATCCGGAAGATGTTTAATATTTGTATGTGACGAATCTAGATTCTCTAAACATTCTAATTGGCCAAGATCCTCAGGTAACGTCTCAAGCAACAAACAATAAGTAAGTTTGAGGGATTTCAAATGTTTAAACATATAAATGTTATCGGGGAGGTGTTTAATATGTGTAGACAACACAACTAGCTCCTCAGGACATTCTAACTGGTCAAGATCCTTGATCACCTCTAGAAAACTGCCTTTGAGTTCAAGCTTTCTTAAACGTTGTGACCCACAAACAGGGGCGGAGCCAGAACTTTTTTTAGGGTGTTCATCATAAATTAGTTTGAAAACACACACACACAAACATATATATATATATATATATATATATATATATATATATATATATATATATATATATATATATATACTATATTATTGAACATATTGTCTATTTCTTGAAAATTAAGAGGTACAATACTTATTACCTCATGTACAATAGTATTAAGCTTACAATCTACATGGTATACTAATTACACGGTATACCTTATCTTGTTACCCTAGTCTCCTCTATGCACAACAGCCGCCATCAAACCAAATCTCATCTGTCTGTGTTTATCTCTTCACCCTCACGACGTCAAGTGTTCTTCCCTGACTCCGGCAACATCACACACCAGCAGCGCACCACCACCTATCTCCACCAAAGATGCAATCGATGCCCTGGAAGTCCACCTTTTCCGTCACCGTTGTCTGCCACTTCTACCTTCTGTCAAGACGAGTAGCCCTAACCCTATCCTGCCGCCACGATCAACCACCTTCTCGTATTATCGACGCCCTGGGAGTCCACCGTTTCGTTCGATTCTTAGCAAACCACAACGATCGGATACAAAATGTGCTGATAAGCTTTCCCCTTCTCAATATCGGTCTCGTAGGTACTTCTTCTGTTATGATTCTATTAGTTTTAGAGTATTCTATAGCTATCAAATATCAATACTTTTTGTCTTTCTGATTTGTGTTTCACTTTTTTAACAGAGGAAAATGTTGAGCTACCAACACAGTCATCAGACGTAACCTCTATGACTTCTAATTCTCATCAAATAGAAAAAACTGATTTTGTTTTCTTGTAGATTTATATCTGTGCTACAGTTTTCTGCAGGCATGAATTTTATTAGAAGCCAGAGGAGGTTGTTGTGACCATATTTGCCAAGGGAATTGCAGCTAACCGTGTGTCTATCAATTATGGGGAGCAAATAGTATATTGTCATTTTACTTCTCTTTTTAATTCTGATTTTTTTTCTACAACTTTCATATAGGAAAAAGTGGTTCTGATATTTGACTGAATTGACTCCTTGCTGTTTTTCCAGATAAGTGTAACTATCGATGTCCATGGGGAAGATTCTTACATTTTCCAGCCTCGCTTTTTTGGGAAGGTGATGCACATAAACTTGTTTTTCTTTAAAACAGTCAAACCAACAGATTATTTGACTGTTTGTTTCTTTTTTTCTTAATTATAATACAACTAATATGCATATTTTTTTGTGATAATTGACAGATAGTCCCTGCAAGGTGTAGATTTGAAGTTCTGTCAACCAAAGTTGAAATCCAGCTTGTAAAAGCGGAACCTATTCAGTGGACATCTCTTGAATATGGTAATAACAATTTGGTTGCACAAAGGAGCAATGTCTCTTCAGGTACCTCACTTTCAATTGTATATATGATAATCAAATACTTTTATGAAGGATAAAAGTGTTGTTTGGATAGATGATATTTCAAATATATATCCTTGAATCACAGACAAGTTGGTTAAATTAATGGATAACTGAAGAAAACTGGTTGCATAACATAGTCTACTAGGAATTCAAAAGATTACATGGCATTTTTTACTTTAAATTATAACACTTATGTATAATATCTGGAAATTAACGGTATTACAGTTCATGTAATAATGGTAGCAATTACATTTTTTGGAAATTAATATTGTCACGTAGTCTTTTTAGTGGTTAACCCATTTAAGCTAAAAAGAAAGAGCCAGATAATTCGAAAAAGGACAAAAATAAGAAACAAGAGGTTAGTTTTGAGGTTAACTATTGTGTTGTGTAATGTAGGTAATCAAAGACCTGCATATCCTTCCTCCAAACCAACCAAAGACTGGGATAAGCTTGAAGCCCAAGTGAAAAAGGAGGTATACAATACACTTTTATTACACAAACACACATTCAATAACTCACTTAACTTTTGTGTTTTGTGTTTGTGTTTTCAGGAAAAAGATGAAAAACTGGATGGGGATGCAGCTCTTAACAAGTTCTTCCGTGATATTTACAAAGATGCAGATGATGATACAAGAAGGGCCATGAGGAAATCTTTTGTAAGAGCTCACTCATTTAATTCTTTATTTCATCTTTTTAATAATAGAATAAGTGGTTTATATAAATGAAAATGAAAATGGAACAATAGGTTGAGTCGAACGGGACAGTGCTGTCAACAAACTGGACAGAGGTGGAAGTAAATGAATCAAATGAAATATGTCCATCAATGGAATCTGATTTCCAAAATGCTTCCTGAAAAAAAAGCCATAATTTGGAACAAGGTGAAAGTATGATCTTTTTTTTTCTTTCTATCTATAAGAAACCCCCTAACATGTTATTTGTTTTTGGTTTGTTGTTGATGGTTGTTGCCAGGTAATTTTTTAAAGGCTTCATTTTTATAGAGTGGGATAATCAGGTAACATATCCATTTCATTTGCTCATGTTGACTATCTTACCATTAGTAAGTTGCATCTAATGAAGAAGGTGATGCTTTTGTAGTTATTCCATGTACTACATTTGAAGTAAACGAATCAAATGAAATATGTCCATCAATGGAATCTAATTTCCAAAATGTTTTTTTTTAAAAAATCCCTAATTTGGAACAAGGTGAAAGTACGTTTCATCCCTATGGTCTAAGGGCAAAATGGGTTATTTAGAAAAACTAACAGACTTGTAGTTAGATTTAACAATTCATCGACCAAAAAATCGTTATGAAACATCAAAAAAATGGCCAAACTTGTAAATATCAGCTATTCTCAGGGACCAAAAATGTAATTTACTCTATTCTATATTATTTCACTTACCAACATTTTCAACTTGTAGTTCACTCTAATACTTGATCATTTTTATAAAATAGTTGTAGCTTTGAATTTACGATGCATGGAGAGATTATATGGTGATCATGGTCTTGATGCCATGGAAACACTTGGAAGAAATCCATAAGCTTCATTTCTTGTTATGTTAATTGTCTCAAACAGAAACAAGATGAGTGGACAAAATGTAAATCAGATTTTAATAAAGTTTGGGCTGAAATATATGCAAAAAATCATTAAAAATCACTCGATCACCGAAGCTTCTATTTCAAGCAACAAGATTCCAAGAATCTCAACATAAAATGTAACTAAACTTTGCCACTACTTTCTTTCTTTTTATTAAATCATGGGTGTGAATTTTTATCTTTTAAAGACTTTTTTTTATTGTTTTGAAAAAAGCATTGGTGAGTGAGATCAAGGAAATAAAGGGAAAGAGTTAGAGAGATGAAGATATTCTTCTTTCGATTGCTGCTGGAAACCGATATTCCATCATGCCAAATCTTGAATTTGAATATTCTGATAACGATATTCATGAGGATGCATTTAAACTTATTAAATATTCATGTGAAGAGATTTGCACAACGAAAGAACAATCCAACAAAGTTTTGAATATTTGGACAACTTTCTTGGAAGCAATGCTTGGTGTCTAATCACGGGATGAATGCAGTGTGTTAGATTCAGAAAAGGGTATTTTGGTAAATGGAGATAGTACTTTGGTCAAAGAAGATGAGCTTCAAGTTCAAACAGAGAAAGAGGGTGGTAAGAAGAATATGAGGATCAATTTGGAAATAGTTTTAGTAACATGATATTTTTAGTATATATGCGATTAAATTAACTTGTGTCATTTTTTTAATTTCAATTTGGGGAATTGTTTTTGAAGGGCGTGAGGCGACTACTAGACCAAGTAATGCTACTGAAAATGGTCATGAAGCAAAATCAAATATTCATGAGGTTCCTGTGTCACAGGTAAAACTTTATATCACCCATTTTTTTTATCTATGTTATTTGTAATTAAAATTTCATTTATACAAACAGCTAGATGAATAATTTTTGGGGAAATTTATGAGAAATCATTTTGTTTTTGGAAGTTTTGCTGTTTTACCACTTATGGTGATATATATTTTTCCAACTTCACCGTTTTCTTGCTTGTATCAGGTTTCAAAAGTAATTGTTACATAATTTTGTTTAAAAAAATATAATTTTCCTTACTTTGTCGTTCATTCTGTGTTAAGTTAAAAAAAATATTTTATTTACAAATTACAGCACATAGATAGTGGTATAAGATGTACAAGAATGGGAAATGGAAATCCTGGTGAGTCATCAAAAGTGGAGAAAGAAGAGGGACAATTATCACCCAATCATGATTCAGATGAGGTCAATTTTTCAACCTATAAAGACAATGAGAATGAGAATGGGACATATAAAGGGGAAATGGAAGTAGATTGTGATGATGAAGAAAGTGATGTTGTTTCCGGTGGCGGTGATGACATCTCTGGCGATGAATCCGGCGGTTCCAGGGAGGAGGAGGAGGAGGAATGTAAACCGGAAAGTAAAGGAGAAGGGAATGGAATTGAGAATTCTGTGTATTTATTGAAAGAAACTCTTTGCCGCCCGGCGCTTAGCGCGGGTAAACGGCTAGTATATATATATATATATATATATATATATATATATATATATATATATATATATATATATATTGATGAGTTTTTGAGCAAAACAACAATCCTATGGTGCACATGCAAAACCCTAAAGCTTTGGATCTAGGTTTCTCTATTGTACATACAAATTTATCCACACCTTACAAACCCTAGATCTAGCATACAAAATTTGAAAATAACAATTAAAACAAGTTTAGATGATTACCTTTCACAAGTAGCAAGAATCTTCAACTTCAAGAGCTTAGTATCATAATTGTAATACCTCTAATTGCTTACAAACACCAAGGCAAGAAGATGATCTTGAAGAGAGGGAATGGAGGCTCCAAATTCGGCTCTAGAATTCTTGGGAATAAGTGGTAGCCGAAATTGGGTGCCCTAGGGTCCTTTATATAGGTGTGCTGCTAGGGTTTCAATCAAAACCCTAATTGGATAGCTTAGGCCTTAAGCAGTCCAAAGAACCTTCTGGAATAAGGCCATGGACGAAATCATAGTGGGCTTCCACTCTAATTTTCGACCCCTCATATCCATAAGGGTCTACAGCCCAAATCCAACTATCTTATAATTGGCAATACCAGTCCCCTTTATTTAATTAATCTCTTTTAGCCACAAAATTAATTCTTAATTAATTCTTGACCAATATTAATCAAACAATATGATTTCTCCTTTAATATATTATTCTTATAATATATTAATAAACCATAATATCCTCTCTCTCCATTAATCATCAATTCAAGTTGCTTTAGTGAAGGCAACACAAAATGACCATGCTACAACCGGGTCAAGTACATACCAAATATAGTTATGGACTTAGACACTAATCCAATATATATATATATATATATATATATATATATATATATATATATATATATATATATATATATATATATATATATATATATATATATATATATATATATATATATATATGGCCAGTCCGTTGATTTTGAGGACCCCGAACGAAAACTAAAATTGAGCCCCTCTAAATGTAATTTTTTTATATAAGCAAAATAAATTGAAGGGAGTGAGTTGTAACATGAGAAAACTTAAAAAGTAACTAAATTAATTAAAATGTCTGTTGATTTTGAAGACACTATGCAAACACTAAAATTGGGCCCCTCTAAATACAACCTATGAGTGAGTTGTAACATGAGAAAACTTAAAAAGTAACTAAAATAAAAATAATAAGAAAAATAAAATTTTATAAAAATTGAGGGGCATAATATATAAATTTGTAAAACTGATTTGTTAAAAAAGTTAGAAGATAGGTTAAATTGTGAAAATGAGAGTATAAATAAGTGGTTAAAAGTGTAACTTGGAGTTATGATTTAAAAGAAGTGGTAAAATTAAATGCATCGAATGTTCAAAAATTTGTCGTCAAATAGGCTCGAACCTAGGTATCTTGGAAGTGGACGACTGCCTCTGCCAGCTGAGCTAAAGGACTTTTATGTTAGCAATTGCACATATTGATATATATTAAGTAGTAAACAATATATATAAAAAGGGAATTTGAGGGTGGGCCTGGGGCCACCCTGGCTCTCATGTGGCTCCGCTCATGCCCAGAAATGCTTTGTGAAAACGTCTAAAGGTTTGTGCAAGCACACATACCTATAGAAAAAAGCATCTCAAGATTTCTAGTTAATGAGCGTCGATCTTCTTTCTAAACATAGTCAAACCAAAACGTTGGCATGTTATTGTGAGGGTGAAGCGGGCATCTTTCTATAGACTCTACACACAGATGTAGCTCAGCTAAAGGACCAACCACAAGTGATTCATCCACACTATGAGAAGTACAACTCTTTATTTGAATCTTGAAAGAGCTAGACTTCAAACAACCACTTAAGTCTACATGGACAAGCTTTTTCAGACATCCAGTGGGAGTGTGAAGTTCTACCAATTTACGACATTCTTTAAGATCTAACTTTTTGAGATTTAGAGTCATCCCAAGGTCAAAAGGTCCTCAAATTTGAATGAATAATTTTAAGTGCGGCGAGGTTTTGACATTCATTGGCCATGAGAAGTTCTTCCAAACAGTAAGACTTTTGAAGATCTAACTTCTCAAGATTCGGAGTCATCCCAATGTCAAGGGTCCTTAACTTTGAATTAGTGAGTAGTAAGCATCTTAGATTTAGACATCTTTCAGGCAAGTGAAGTTTTTCCAAATCTTTGCATTCAACAAGAATCAACTCTTCAAGATTTGGAGCTAGCCCACGGTTAAGGGTCATCAACCTTGAACGACTAAGAGTCGTAACCCACTCATTTTATGCATCACAGGTAGCGGATGTTAGGCTGTCGAAGTCTAGTTAGGATACTGAGTAGAATAAAGAGATGTGTTTGTAATAAGTAGTTTCAGGACCTTTTATCATTTACGCTGTAATGTATGTTTGGCTATGAACTTAAGACATCCTCAAGGTTTTAATAAAATAACTTTTGTTATCTTAAAAATGCTTTATTTAACTGGGAATTTTCCACATCTCACTTTAATAAGTGTAAAGAAAATGTTTTAATTGCTTCTGAAAAATGGGGATGTCATATATAGTCGGAAGTATCTTTACCTTGGGGAGGAAGGTATAAGTTTTGGTACTCTTTTCTTGGGATGGAGCATATGTCCGACAACTGTTCATTGGGAAGGACTGCAAAGTTGTACCTTTTGTCTTGGGAAGGAGCATATCGAATGGCTGAAGTTGCGCGTGAATGGATGAGGTTGGACTTAAATGGCTGAGGCTGGACATGTCATGCCGATGTTGGACTTGAATGGCCGAAGCTGGATTTGAATGACCGAACTTGAATGAATAACTGAACCATGTTTTCCTGTATCCGTAAAAAGATGTATATATCATCACATATTTAAACGGGGAGTTCTTGATAGCATCTAAAATGAAAGTTGATAAAATCTTCTGTATCTTATTCCACCAATCTCAATGGTATTTATAATACAAGAATGGTTGACCTAATCTAAGTTAGGAAAATATTTACAAAATAATTTCATCATTATACAAAATATACGGTTAATATAAAATATATGACTAATATAAACCAATGAACATCCAAAAGCTCTCCAAATACTGATAGATTTATGCTCATAATTGCTTGAAAATGCATAAGAGTCCTTATATATTATGAAATATAGATGTAATGATAGAAATAAGCAAGAGAAGTAATCATCCAACAATTGTAGCAACGAAGTCTAATATTTATGGAGGAACATAGCAACATAATTTACCATCTTCTTCAAACAAATGAAGTTGATGGAAGTGATATAAGTTATAATCAAAACCGAAAAGAACAAACTTCTACAATACAATATAGCACAAATAAACATAACAAACAAATCCAATCAATTAGCATACAACATGTGAATCACAAAAATAAATATGAAAGTCCGATCAAATTGACATACATAGTGGTTATAAAAACCTAAAATGACATGGTACAAAAACCAACATTCGATACTTTTGTAAATGAAAAATAAGGACTACAAAACAATAATTTCAAAGGCTAAACCTTATCATAGTGGTTATAAAAACCCAAAATGACATGGTACAAAAGTCAACTTTGGATACTTTTGTAAATGAAAAATAAGAACTACTAAACAATAATTTCAAAGGCTAAGCCTAGTTTGCTACAAGTGGTTTTAAAAAATCAACATCACCCGTGGTTTGATAATTAGGGTATGAATTTTAGATAAACATTAAGGGCTTGTTTGATAACCCTCTTACTGAGTCCAGTAAGAGGTCACCTTTGACCTGGTAAGATTCAGGGTGTTTGATATTATCACTGGAAAGCTCTTACTCTGTGACAACCCATTATTTTCTAGCTTTTGAAGTCAACAAAAGTTAACCCAAGGTCAACAAAAGTCAAACAAGGTAAATAACAGTCAATTTTTGTTGCTTTGTTAAATTATTCAGGATAAACTAATGATTTTTGATAAGAATAAACCGTTAATAAAAAGTGTGCAAAAGTTAAAGGAAAAAGGCCATGAACCGAGAAATCTCGCATAGGGAACCTCCCCACCGAAAACCCTCGCATGAAGCCTTCTCCTCGGACCGCAAACCTCGGACAGCAAACCTTGTTTTTGGTCGTAAACTCTTCGGACCGAAAACCTCGCAGCCTTATCCTCTTCTGACCACAAATGCCTAGACCGCCTCCGGACCGCAAACCCCTTCGGACCGTGAACGCCTTCAGTCTTATCTTCCCCGGTTTGTGTTCTCGGCTGAAAACTCACTTGTATATATATAAGTTACTCGAAAATCTACCTCATTCTTACATCCTTCAACCGAAAACACTCTTTTCTCTCAAGTATCTTGCGAAGATCATTTGAATCTTCATAAGTTCATACCGATTTCTTCAAGTATTCATAACATCTTTTGATACACCTTCCAACCTTGTTAATTCATACCCAAAAACACCTTCCAATCTCCTTATATTGGGCCGAAAACACTCACATCTTCTTGATTACACCAAAACACCTATAAACTCTCAAGGTTGTTAAAATACAAAAGGCTCATATTACGTAATTTACATGTATATAAACTATAATGGGTATAGTTTATGTAATTTATGGACTACTTTACTAAGTAAGGGAAAATGATATGAAAACACACATATAAATTATAATAGGTATAATTTATGGGTCAATTCACAATATCAATCATCTTAAACTTATATATGGAAGAATTTCATCTTTATTTGTTAAAAGGTCTTTCCACTGCATTACTCGTAATTTCGTTGAAACAATAAATTTGTGAGACACTTCGTGGTGTACTTACCTAAGTACGACCTTAAGTCCTGACTTATTAACCAGAATCTCCTGGAGGGAGAGCGTGAATTTGTGTATAGATCTATACGGGACTGACAATCCCGCACCTGAACTGTTCGCTACAGTTAGGCCGGCAGGCCTAAGGTGACAAATGTCATATCATTCCGACGCCTGTAGAACGTCGCATCAGGCATATCAGTCATATAGTATGGTTATAAGAACTCACATGGATAAAACAACGATTATTTTACATAGTAATATACTTATTTTAAAATAGTAAAACAAGGTATTTACATCATATCTATTTTACAGGCCAAATATACCTTCAGTTAGTTTTAATTATGAATAAAACTACATATCATGAAATTAATTATGGCAATTATACTTATACCTTTTTGGTTTTGGAATGTTTAAAACCATAAATCGGTATTATGGAAAATATAAGATTTTCCCGGATCAATATCATTATTTTACAAGTAAACAGTTTACAGTTCGACTTTCTGAAAGTAAACACAACTGCTTATCGAAATCAATGTTTTACAGTAAAGCAGATATAACTAAGAATATGTTTACAAATAATTTAACACTTAGTTACGAATGGTATGTTATCAAATAGTTTTATTTGATTATTAACCATATATTCGGATTTTAGAGCAAATGTACTTTCAAAGGTTTTATTTAAATAATAAAACTATATTACATTATTTGTAAGTATTAAATTTCTAAATTTGCACACGAATTACACGAAAAGTAAAACATTATATTTTTACTAATATGGTACAAAAGAAGTTCAGAAAAAAAATATAACGATCATCCATTTTATTAAAGTCTATGATTACTTAATGTATACATCACGATATATAATGAAGATCCGAGAAATAATGGAATGTGTGATTTCCGCCTTTCTTCCTGTTCCTTGTTTGGTTGTGGGCTTAGGGCAGATTCACCCAAGCGACTGTTCGTTCGATTTTTATTATATATAATTAGTATACACTAAGTAATCATAGGAGGTAACAAGATGGGTCATACTAAGTTCATGAATCCAAATATCTAATCACAGGATATAAACATAAGGAACTTATACTTTTTAGTCTCAAAGTACTAATATTACGATTTATTTACTAAGAAAATATTGGATTTTTCTGGAAGAACACATTAACATTCTTAATAACAAAGAATATATCTTTTCCACTAAAATACTTATGAACTCACCAACTTAAATGTTGATACTCTCTTTTCAAACCACTTGTATTCAAAGGAAAGTTAGTAGCAGGTACTCTCTTGGGCATTATGAAGACGGAGCATAGTAGCATTACGCCTTATCTTTTGTTATACTTTTAATGTTGAACAAGTAATGTTTTGAACACAATGTAAATACTATGTTATTATTACAATGTTTGTTGTTGCTTTGATTACTATGATGCATGTGTTGTGATACTTAACATGAAGTCATCCACCCCCGGACGTTTTCCACCGCTCCGGTTTGGGGGTGTGACATACTCGGTCCATTGACCACTTACCGAGTCATCATAAAAATAATGTTGAATGATAATATTTGTCGTTGTTTACCCTTATCCTTCTTTCTCCTTGAACGAGACTTTACTCTCTCGATCTGCTTCAGCCTCCGGCCACCTTCTCCACCGCATTCCTTTCGAGTGTCGGCACCTCCTCCACCACTTTCCTCTCCAGTGTCGGCCACCTACTAGACCACTGAAGTCTCAACCCCTTCTCTTATGCTTTTAATCGACAGGTTTAAACTCAATAATTTCATAATCGATGCTCAGAGATCACTTGTTTTTCGATAATGCACTTGTCTATGAGATTCTTGTTCTTCGGTAATCTAGTGAGTGGTATCGTTCCACTCTCTAAAACACTAACTGCTGCCGAAGGTAAAGTTTCTCTCCATTTGAATTCCTAATCAGTGATCACTACCATCTATTATGCTTATGGTTTTGTACTGTTGGCTGCCATCAATTATGCCTATGGTAAATTTTCTCTCTGTTTGTTAATTGGTTGAAGATGGTGAGGTCGCAGATTTGCGATACTGCTGGTGTAATCACCTGGTGCACTATGATGTTACTATTTTTTGCGATTGGTTATTAGTATTAACATAATCATATTTTACTGATGCATCACATAAATTTTGATAGAATAATATAGATTGTTTACTGATGCATCACAATTGGAATCCTTGGATCCCTCATAATCCTTCTTTGTTTCGGTCCTAATGCCTAACTAGTGTTTGATAAAAATCCTAAGAGACAAAATGATCAAAGTTTTGTGTAACATGATGGTTTACTTCATATCAGATAATGGTGTTGTTTAATGTGGTATTGATATGAGATTTATTTAGGATTATGAAGTTGTTAAAATAGATTTTGTATGGGATGTGTTATATAGGTGTTGTTTTTGAAATTTTGTTGGATTTGGTATTTAATTATTTATACACGATGAAGTTGTTAAATTAGATTACTATGGAATTGTATTATGTTTGAAAAAATGTTCAACTTGTAATAGTTGGTGCAATGATGTAATGTGCATTGAATCATCATCTTCACTAGAAATAAATAAAGGGAGGAAGTAAAATGGTAAATAGAAAAGATTTTCATGAAAATAAAAGTATTACAAGTGATTTGATTTATATACAAGCTCTGTTTCCTGGTTGGTGGCAACCAATTTTCAAACCATTTTACATATTAATTTGTATTTTAATATCATTATGATACAGTTACAAAATAGAAGGGTAAAATAGTCATATTTAATATTTAACACGTTCAGTCAGGGGTGTAATCAAACAACATGTTTCAGTCAGAGGAACATTCAGTCAGAGTCTTAGACTCAGTCAGATTTAACTCATTCAGCAGCTATCAAACAGCTCCTAAGATACTTAGGGTTGTGTACATGACAATTTGGTTTTGGATAAAACTAACCCTAACCATTATACTTCGTTAATGCATTTTAGT